GCCCGTCCCCCAGTACGGCCCCGCCCCCTCTCCAGGGCACTGACAAGCTGCAGCGCCACAACTTACACATGGAAAAGAACCTGGAGGATCTGCTCGCCACGAGCAAGAACCTCACCGACAGCCTCAACTGCAAGGAGATCGGGCGCGACGCGGACTACAAAGTGGTGCGCCTGCGCCTCCGCCAGCGGCACCCGCACGTGAGCTACCAGCAGGCGCAGGCGCTGGTCAACGACTGGGACCCACGCACGCCGCCGCCACGGCCACCACGCGTGGAGTCCAGCAACGCTGCCAAGTAACAGGCGCACCCCCTGCCCCGACGGCAGGTCCCCCTAGCTCGGGCTGGGCCCTCAGAAACGCACAGCCCGGGGACCCTCCCTCTCCCCTGACCCTCCCGCGGAGCGCCCTCTAGCAAAATAACAATAATTACATTTGTTAGACATCTGCTGTATATAATCACTTACCCTACAGCACCTTATGGGCGGTGTATCCTGGAAGTCAACTAGATGGATTTGGGTGCCAGGTTCCTGGGGGTTCAAATCCTGGCTTTCTGAGCTATGTGGCCTTGGGCAGGTCACTTGCTCTCTGGCCTCTGTGTGTCTACCAGTAGGTAGGAAGAAGTAGAGCACCCACCTCAAAGGCTTGTAAGGACAGATGAGTTCCCTTGTGTAAGGCCTGCAGAGTGGTGACTGTATATTCAGCATCCTCAATGCACTGAGTCATTGTCATCCTCATTTGCCAGTGAGGAAACTGAGGCACAATGAGGTTAGCGGCTTCTCCTGAAGCCCTATTTAGGGGAGATTTATTCTCCCAGACCCCAAGCAGCTCAAGTTGGGATTGAGTTCCACTGCCCTTTGCTCCATTCACCTGGTGTGTGTTTTTGGGGGGTGAGGGGACAGCACCCTCAAAATTCATAGCATCCTTCTTTCTCCCCACCCCACCCCCCGCCCTTTTTGAGCCCCTACCAAGTTCTGGGGCCGAGTCAGGTACTGAGAGTGCCACAGTGAGCAGGACTGACGTGGTCCCTGATCTCAGGGAGTTCACAAGTAGATCAAGTGCAGCCAACGTCATCCTTTTGGATGCAGCTGTAGCACAGCCTCTTATAGGAAACCCACCAGCTGCACCCACCCATCCAGTTTCTCCTCTCTATTCTCCTAGTCTCCTGGACACCCTCCCGTTACAGAACCCAAAACACCAAGCTGTGACAATCATCTGCTCTCCATGGGGAGGGCCCGGAGTGTGGCATACATAGGACAGAGGTGTTCACTCAAGCCACAAATATCTCCTAAGCAACTGTCCTCTACCAGAGGCCAGGCTCAGTGCTGAGGATACGTGAGGACCAACACAAACACAGTCCCTCCCTCATGGAGCTCACTATGTATATGCCAAGAATGGCCCTCACAAATATTTTTGACAAAGCCAACCAGTCACATGGACACAATGTAGCCCCACCAACATTTCACAGAGAAGGAAATGTTCAGGAAGGTGCACCCATTTGCCCAGGGTCACAGAGCCAGAGAGGGACCAAGTGGGACTAAACCTGAGTCTGCTCCCTTGTTCCACACTGCAGCCATGTACCATGGGCTCACCATGATCTTCACTGGTCTCCATAACAACCAAGTGAAGATGGTGTCAATTATGCCCATTTGACAGGAAATGCACAAAAAATAAGGAGCTACCAACCCAGGATCACAGAGATGAGAAGGAGTAGGGCTGAGGGGTTCAAATTAACCATCTCTGACTCAGAACCATTAGGCACCACAACCAGCTTATCTCAAGAGGGACTTCACAGTCTGAGAGTCACTGGGGGTTCCAGGGGGTTAAGAATGTTCTACCTGTACCAATCAGGATACCAACAGGAAACAAATAGCACATGCAACTTGAAGGAAGTTGAACAAACACATGATAGTTCAATCCTCATGATTCGAAGATTCTGTATTATGAATTTGCCTAACTCACTAAAATTTATTCATAACCCCCCAAACCAATACTGTGAGGTTTTCAGAGTCATTTGCAGGTGTGCACAGAACAGTGAAAGACTTTAATGGCCCAACATGGTCAAACAAGCCAGGGTCAAACGAGGCGCTTTCTTGTTTCAGCTTTCCTACTGAAACAAGCATCCAAATGGAATATTACTCAGTCATAAAAAAGAATGGCATCTTGCCATTTGTGACAACATGGACGGACCTAGAAGGTATTATGCTCAGTGAAATAAGTTAGACAGAGAAAGACAAATACCATATGAATTTATTTATTTTTGGAATCTAAAAAACAAAACAAATGAATAAAACTGAAACAAACTCATAGATACAGAGAACAAATTGATGGTAGCCAGAGGGGGCGGGGGAGGAGGGATAGGCAGACAAGTGGAAGGGATTGAAAAATACAACTTCCCAGTTGTAAAATAAGTCATGGAGATGCAATGTACAGCATAAGGAATAGAATCAATAGTATCATAATTGTACAGTGACAGATGGTTACTAGACTTTTTGTGGTGATCACTTTGTAAGGTATATAAATGTTGAATCATTATGTTGTACACCTGAGACAAATATAATATTATATGTCAACTAAAGTTTTTTGAAAACCAAGTAATGTTTCCGAGGTCTACTTAGTGCCATGTTTTTTCCTATTTTTGTTCTTTTCGTTGGTGATTTTGCTGTTTAAAATAACCCCTAAGCATATTTCTGAAGTACTGTCTAGTGTTCCTTAGGCAAGAAGGCTGTGATGGGCCTCACAGAGAAAATGCATGTTAGACAAACTTCGTTTGGGCATTAGTTATAGTGCTTTTGGCCTTGAGTTCAATATTAGTGACTTGCACACATTAATATACAATATTTTTTGGACAATATGTATTAACTAAGGCATCTTTAAACAGAAACACACATAAAACAAGGTTAGGTATTGAGCAGTTGAGAAAAGTGTTGTGACTAGAGGCTGGTAAGAACCTATCCCTTTTATTTTCTCTGGGAGCAATGGTTGCCTATTTGGGCAACTTTATAGAATATAACGACAGTGAATGATGAGAATTGCCTATATTTGGAAAGGAGTAGGCAGGATGTAGGGACAGTTCAAGGTGCTAATTATTTGTGGGGAGTGGCCTTCGCCTTTGGTAAATCTGAAGGGACAAGGTGGTCAGGGACAGCCAGCCTTGCAATGCTGCTGAGTGGATGCCCCTACCGCCCCCCCCCCCCATTGGTCAGTATTCCCTACTGATCAAAGCCAGAGAGAAAGGAAGCCCATTGGTGCAGTCCATATATCCTTCCAGGACACAGAGCCACCTCCACCTTGCTGACTTTTGAGCCTCTTGCAGGTGCTTTCTGGAGTTGGGGATTGTCCCTTTGCCTCCATCTTTGTCCTTCCATTCTGCCCAGAAACCTCACATGAGAATGCAAATGCTTCTTCTGTACAATGTCTTATCCTCTGGGTTGAACCTGCCACCCTCATTCTTTCCTCTTCCATTTCTGAACATAAAAACATGCTTGTGACTTCCTTTCTAGAGTAACCATAATTGCCACTTCTGCTAGTTCACATCACTAATACATGATAATTACTCTTCATATCATGCTCACTTATTCTGCTAAGCTCACTTTTATCTTTATCTCATGCCTTATTAAATAGCACAATAGCCATCATTATTTGCTACTTAATCCTGGCATCCCACAGCTTTGTGAACCAGGTCCCTCCCCAGGACACTTGGCTCAGCCCATTGATAGTATTGGTTCATGGCCACCTCCATTCTCTCTTTCCTTCACACTCATCACGAAAAAGATATGCAGTGCACTCACCACGCAGCTTCCAAAACACCAGCCAGCTGACCAGAGCCAATCTTCCTGTGTAGAGCAAAGAGGCAGGTTCCTGGGTATAGCAGGGCTGTGGCAGGTCACCAACCAGCTTATGAAGATTGATTAGGAGTCTGCAGCTGCTGTCCAGGTCATGGATGTTGGCCATGTCAACTAGGAAGTGATGTTGGAGAGAAAAGAATGAATCCAAGAAGTATTTAGGAAGTAAAATAGAGTTCTTTCTAAATAGCAGGCACTTTTGTATGTACTTTGAATACATTAACTCCTGACAACACTCAAGTAAGGTGGGAATTACTATCTCTTCTTTACAGACAAGGACACTGAGCCACCAAGAGGTTTTATAATTCAAGTCACTGAGGTCAGGCATCCAACCCAAACATTCTGATTCTGAAGCCTATGTCTTTGAACATTGTGCTATCATGCCTTCTGCTCAATTATCTGCTTGCTCTAGGTTCCCCCCTTATTTGCATCCCTTCTACCTGTATCCCCCTATACACATACACATATACACAATCATATACAAGTACACCCACATTCACAGCAAATTGGTAGCGATGGAAGCAACTGAGAAATAGATGCCCAAGGGGTGGACCAGGCCAGAAAATGCCATTGAGTACAGTGGGCCCAAATAGAAACCCCCTACCCATTTACCAGTTCATTCTTTCCTACCCTCCCTTGCAACCATGACTCTGGATTCATTCTGACTCTATAGATTGGCCTATTCTTATTCATAATAACTGATATGAATGGACATTGAAAGCATTATGCTCAGCTAAAGGAGTCAGACACAAGGGCCACATAATATGTGGTGTCACAGGATTTTTTAAAGCCTCAGATAACTGTGATGTTATCTAAGCAAAGCTTTCGAACCACTGCCTTATACTCTACAATAAAAGATTTATGCCCAGGCCATGTAGAGAAGGTCAGAGAGAGGACTCTGGTTTCTAGGCCTGCTTCAGGCCACCCTGAGCAGCTTGGGCTGGCTCATTTATTCTCCTAAGCTCATGTGACCTTCTCAGACCGGAGTTGAGAGAGTAACTAAGCCCTTTTTAAATTTATTTTTCTTTGATCTGACCCTTGGGTTATGACAGAAGGAATATAAGAGAACTCAGGAGTCTGAGGGAACTGCCCTCTGAACCCAGCAGTGGCACTTTTAAGTCAACTTCCTTAACTTTTCTAAACCTGTTTTCTCTGTACAATCTCACAGTCATCAGGACAAGAGTTCCCATCCTTCAAATGCTCAGGGTGGGTGCCTGAGAAATGAGAGCTGCTTGCCTCTGCCCCGCATTCTATTGCAAGCTCAGTGACTTGCAAAATTCTGAAAGGGAAGGAGCTCCTGGAATACATGGGCATCTTGCCTGACTGTGACTGATAAAATCCTGTTGGACAAGATACCAACTCGTCTTGTCTAGTCAGGCACTCTGGGTTGTTTACTGGCCAAGGGAGCCTGGAATGGCAAGAAGTTGCCAAGTCTTTAAGCAATACCGCCTCCTTTC